GTTCACACCCACATCCGCATCGCGCGCGAAGGGAAGCACTAAACTGGTTCCTGCAGCCGCATTTTCATTAACTTTTACTTGTAACTCTTCATCCCGGAAACGGGGGAAGTTATCATTAATATCGATTATTTCGACTTCTACTCCATAAATTTTCATTTTGTTCTCAACCAAGATGTTAAAGTTCACCACGCACAGCGGGCTCTGAGCGCAGAGCTCCTCCCGGTCTACCCTGCTTGCGGTGACCAAGCTGCCACTGGGCGGATTCAGGGCGAAAAGCTGCGTCCTACCTCTGGAGACGATGCGGACTCCGCGGTCTTCCAGTTCCTGGGGCTCCAGCCCAAGGTCCTTGGCGATGTTGCCGATGAAGGAGCCTTTGTCCAGCTCCTCTGGCACCGAGTAGCGGATCTGCCCGGATCCTGGCTCGCACAACGTCCCCAGGAGCGTGAAAAGCAGCCCCAGCTCTCCGCAGAGCCAGCGCCTTGGTGGACTCCTCATTGTCTTCTCTCGGCCCAATTTTCTCCTAGTCCTGTTTCAGCCCGCTGCTTCCTTATTTATCTAAAGCCGATGGGTACATATTCCCTGACGAAAATTGGAGTGGTGGGTTGGCTTTTCGTAGGAGCTTGTCTGGTCTGTGCGTGTTTAGTATGGAGGGAGCGGAGTCGGGTCACCGCTGCAGCTTCTTTCCCACTTTGGTCAACAGCGACGCTCAGAGTCCTAACAAGTTACTACACCAAATTCCATTTTTATTTCTCCTTAGTTATATTTTTATTTCTAACAATGTTGCTATATCCTTCATGATTAACTATGTAGCATTGTTTATGACAGTTACGCTTTAATTCTGAAACAGCAAGAATTCCACAATCCCTGAGATCAATATGATTATTAGATTCCAAAACCTTACAAAAGTTTTATTTAATTCACCATTGAGCCTATGTCCTTTATTTACCTCTTACCTATATTTAGTCCATTAAATTAGGATGTTCAAATTCTTACCTTTGCAGGATTCAAGATTTCATCAATTTATTAGGATACATTTATAAACATGCTTAAGACTGCCAAGGAAACAAATCCAGTTCTTAATGCACCTTTCCAAAAAGGCCTACTGATTTATGTAAGTTATATTAGCTGTCATATGCAGAAAAAAAAAAGATCTTTGTTACTTGTGAGGACTTTCAGAAAGTTTCTGCACCATCTCAGGCAGTCTTTGAATTGGGCTAACTATGCATTTTTATGTTTTTCTATTACCACGTTCAAATATTTGTAGTTCCAGTGACAATCATTATAGTAACTGTGGAGAATGGGGCTTTATTTCATCATCCGTGCAGGAAAGCATGACCAGATACTTATCATCGAGCAGCACTAAGTGGCCTTTCTATGTTGAGACAGATATTTAATGCTATAATCTTTATACAGCCACAGAGATAGAAAAACCTCATGATTTTAAAAAATGGACATTTCAGAGTCATTTAACTTAATGATACTTTCATAGAAAACTAAGAAAATAAAATATTCTATATAATTAGGAAATTCAAAAGCAAAGTTTTAAGTAATATTTGGTAGAAAATGATGTGAGCATAGGTTGTAAGATTTTTCTCAATGTGCAATTTTTCTCAAGAGCAATTTGTTAATACGCATGTTAGAGAATGATTTCTCACATTTGTTAAATGCACTCTTTGTAGCAGACACCTCAGGCCTCAAACATTGCTTATCATTCAGAAATAGATTTGTGATTCCAAGACATTTAGCTTATCGAATCTTGGTCTTCAAGTCAATGGGACAATGTCCTACCCATGCCCTGTGGTTAACATGCCATGCCATTATATAAAAGTCTTTCTTCTTTGGTTCCCAATTTCCAAGAACTAGTAAAATGAGGACTCTCTTTACTCTGAAGTACTACAGCTCTAAGAGGAAGTAAAACTAAAATTTGAATAACAAAGAGCCTGAAAGTGAAAGAAATTGCTTAAAATCCCAATAGTAACGAAATTTCAGAGAGAAGTAGTGTAAAGATGAGGAAAAAAATGAAATACAGTGCAGAATCTCACGCAGTAAAGTTTTGCAATTATGGGTAAATAAATCTCGCACTTCAGACAGAAAACTCTTAACATTCAGTTAGATAAGATTAAGATAATTAAGGCACAACACTGACCAAATCTAACTCATAAATACGCAATGGAACTTCCTACCCAAGTTAGGTGATTTGCTAAGAAGCAATAAAACCAGAAGTGAAAATAAATGAATTAGAGCTCACCTTTAAACTAGTTTCTGAGGGAAAGGGGACCCCAGCGTCTCCACGATTTGCTTTTGGTTCCCAAGAGGCATTGTCACAGAGGAGATCTTGTGCAGAAGCCACTTCCGGGGTCACGTTGAGAAAGTTAAACTCTGTCTTGGCTGTTTGTGAGGCGACACACAGATTGTAGGAATAGGGCAATGTTCCCTCACTGTAATTGGGGAGAACCCCAGGTCCAGGCTTGGAGCTGAGACCAGGCTGAAAGCAGCCCCAATCCTCTGCCCTGGAAGAGCGTCGCAGGCGCAGAGCGATAGCCAGAATCACCGCGAGGAGAAAGAGCACTGAGATCAAGGCCAAGGCCACCACCAGGTAAAACTGCAGTTCCGCCTGAGGGTCAGAGGGCTCCGGGCGGTCGCTGAGGTCTGGCAATACCTCCTGCAGGCTATCCGCGAAGATTAGGTGCAGCGTGGCGGTGGCGGAGAGTGGCGGCTGTCCTCCATCACGCACGGCGACTAGCAGGCGCTGGCGGGCCGCGTCCCTGTCGCCCAAGGCACGCGCTGTGCGCACCTCACCGGTGCGCAGCCCCAGGCTGAAGAGCCCGGGCTCGCTGGCCTGCAGCACGTGGTAGGACAGCCAAGCGTTGTGTCCTGAGTCTGCGTCCACCGCCACTACCTTGGTCACCAGGTAGCCGGGCTCTGCGGCGCGTGGCACCATATCGAAGAGTGCGGAGCCATCCGGTCCTAGCGCAGGGTACAGCACCCGTGGCGCATTGTCATTGAGGTCGCCCACTAACACGCGCAGGCTCACATTGGCGCTGAGCGCAGGCGAGCCGTGGTCACGGGCCTGCAGCGTGACCTCGAAGGCGCGCAGCTGCTCGTGGTCGAAGGCGCGCTGCGCTAACACCACCCCGCTCTGCGCGCTCACAGACACGTAGGATAAAAGCTCCTGTGGCTCCAGGTCGCTCGCTACAATAGAGTAGGAAACTTGGCCATTGGGGCCCAAGTCAGGGTCGGAGGCACTGATTTGAACGACGAAGGCGCCAGGAGGATTGTTCTCTGCCACGTGAATCATGTAGGAATTCTGCTGGAAAATAGGTGCATTATCGTTGATGTCGGAGATGTGCAGGGTGACAATTACGCTGGAGGAGAGGGGCGGCTTGCCCCCGTCGGTAGCTGTGATGGTGAGATTGTATTCCGGGGTCTCCTCCCGGTCCAGGGCGCCATCTGTCACTAGCTTGTAATAGTTCTTTGAGGAAGATTTCAAAATAAACTTGGCATTTTCCAACACTTGGCAGTAAACTTCTGCATTTTCTCCAGAGTCTCTGTCTCTCGTTTTTATCAAGGCGATGATTGTTCCTGGTGGCGAATCTTCTGGTAGGGGAGTAAATACTGAAGTCACAGTAACTTCAGGTGCACAATCGTTCTCATCAAGAATTTCAACTTGGATAATGCAGTGGGCTGCTAGATCTCCAGGATCTTTTGCTTCGATACTCAGAGTGTAACTATTTGCAGTCTCAAAATCCAAATCATCCTTTGTCTTGATTTCTCCTGTTTTTTCATTTAAGTTAAAAAAGTGTTTCACTTGTTCGTCCACATTGTGAAAGGAGTAGGTGATCTCCGCATTTATGCCTTCATCCTCGTCAGTGGCCGTCACTTGAAGCACAAAGAAACCTGGGGGCACGTCCTCCCTCAGGGTGACCCTGTAAACATCCTGGCTGAACACCGGAGGGTTATCGTTGGCATCTGTGACTTGGATTAGGATTTGGGTCCTGCCACTTTGAGGTGGGTCTCCACCATCCAAAGCTGTGAGGACCAGTTGATGGAAAATGTGCTCTTCTCTGTCCAGAGAATGTTTTAGAATTAACTCAGGATATTTACGTCCATCTGGAGTCTGTTTCTCAGCGAGATCAAAGTACTCGTCGTCATTAAGGTGGTATCTTTGTAGTGAATTAGGACCAACATCTGAATCCAGGGCTGGGTCAAGTGGAAATGTTGTACCTGGCTTAGTGGATTCGACAATTTTTAAATCAATCTTACTCTGTTTGAATAGCGGGGTATTATCATTTATATCCTGCACAATTACTGCTATGTGGAAAATATTTAGTGGGTTTTCAGCGACAGTGTCGAAATCCAGAATGCACAGAGGCTGCTTCCCACATATCTGCTCTCGGTCTATTCTATCACCCACAAGTAAGTCCCCGCTGTCTGGGTTTACTGTGAAATATTCTTTCTCAGCGCTAATCCGCAGCTTTCGGGCCGGCAAGTCCCGGACGCTGAGCCCCAGATCCTTGGCGACATTTCCTACGACCGAGTTTTTGGCCAGCTCCTCTGGAATTGAATAGCGGATCTGGTCTGGGAGAGCTCCGGGAAACAAAGACAACAGGAAGGGCAACAGTACCTGCGGCCACTGCACCAGCCTGCGCCTCCCTGCGCTCGCCTTCATCCTCTGTCTCCCTCGGGCTCCCTTTGCTCCTTTGCCCGTAGGAGAAATAAGCCTTACGTGGATGGCAGAATCCCGGCTAAGTCTTCCGTAGATGGCAGAATCCGGGCTAAGGTTACTTTTCCTGCTTTTGTTTTCTGTTTCCAAATCTATACTGGCTTCCTCTGTGTGGTTGGTTTGTGCAGGAAGTTCCGCTCTGAGACTCCCAAACGCTTCTGTGCTATCTTCTCTTCGTTCTTTTGACCTACAGCGACGCTCAAAGGTTTCCTCAGGAAACTGCACCAATGACTTGTAAATGTTTGCTAACAACTTTTTTCTTTTTTTTTAAATTTATAAAGTCTTTATGTGTTTTTAAATAGGTGAAAAATTCATATAGTTCCAGATTCAAAAGGTGCATTCAGCATAGGTTTTTCACTGCTTTTATCCCGGTTTTTGATGAGGAGAAATGCTTTCACAGGGGAAAGGAGTGTTAATGTTTCTTGGGTATCCTTCCACAGACATGTTTTGTATAGTGCAACAGATTTTTATAAATGTTCTGTCTCCCTCTCTTTTGACTATTAGAAAAGTTTATTTAACAAAAAGACTAATATGAAAATGTACATGACTTAATTTTTACATCATAGTAAAACAGGCCCTAAGGAGAGAGGACATGGGTTTCACCGCTGAACAGCCATTATTTATACTCGTTCCAAGGCTTCTAACACGATGATACTATTTCCTCATATTACCATCATTCCTATATTGTTCTGTTGTCCGCTAGTCGCCATCTCCACACGTTCATCTATCACAAGATTCATAAAGGGATCAAATCCCCGCAATATTCCTTGGACATGTCTGCCACCATTTAACTTCAATGATAACTTCTTGTCCATAAATTTTTTCAACTCGTGAGGGTGAGCTTTGCTCATGATGGCTACCCTGTGGGCACACAGAGCTCTGTCTCCCTTTTTTACGCTAAGGTAAGCATACAACATACCATGTTCTGCACATTGCTTCTTTATTTGTTATATCTTAAAGATTATATCAGTACACAGACAGCTTTTCCTAGGCTACTAGATAACTATATTATGAACTCCATAATATGAATATACAACAATTTGTTTAATCAAAATTGTTATTTGCTAAAAGAAACCCACTGCCCATTCTAACAAAAACACATTTTTTAAAAAATGCAATTTTAGGTTATAAATTATCTGCTGCTTTCCTAGACCTTTAAAATATGGGCCACTCTCATTCTGGAACACATTCCTAATGCCATGTGAATATGCTTACCACAGTTTGAGGCCAATTGAGCATTTCCAAATTACATTTTATGGCTTAATTACTTTAAACAATCTCTCCTCAGATGTGAACTGTCTCTCAACATTCACTTGTTATTTCCACTTCCTGCTCCCCAAGCCAGGTAACTGCATCATATCATATTCCAGTTTACTCTATGTATTGCACCAGAACTTTCTATGCATACAAAACCATGTAGAAACTAAAACTCTCCTTTGTAAGTCAAACTGAGGCATATTCCACAGTCTATCGCTACAACTTTCAGTTATCAAATTACACTAATTTGTATAAGTATACACACTCATGAATTTTGAATTAACTCACAGAACTAAATGAAAGCACAAAGAGCAAAAGAGTTGCATATCCCTTAAACACAAAATATTTTCCCCAATATAAAAGAATCCCACAGCCACACGGTGAAATATCTGAAAGTAATTTGTAGGAATAGGGATGAGGCCAACTTACTAAGCAGCACAAATCATGTCAGCCCAGAACCCAAGTTACTCAACCTTCGCCAGAGGTTCACATGATGAAAAGAGAAAAGTCTCCATAAACTTATGTTTTCTTTCAAAATCAAGAAAGTCTCAATAGTGACATCATGATAGACAATTTAAAAATTATTAAAGTTACTCCTACAATATACTTAAATTTGAGTGAAATTAACTGGGAAAAATTTCTGATAATCACAGAAGTGCACCAAAGGAATCACCCATAGTCACTGCTAGTGCATCTCAGAATAGCAACAACAAAATGTTTGAAATATACCAGTCCATTGAGAACATATTCTGTTAAAGTTATATCTAAAAGTTAAACTCATAAATTGCCAGCATTTTTAAATTGACATTTTCTAATTATAATGCAAAATACCCTTTCAAGGAAGAAAAAGTAAACTTCAAGCAAAGCATGTACAGTGTAAAAACAGAAAATTAAAAAACCCTCAGTCCAGAGCCAACAATAGCTTCATGAGAAGGAATAATGTAAATGTGAATTTACATAATCACCTTCTATTTCACAGGTCTCTTGTATCTTTTCAGTAACACTAAGGGAAAGGACATTTATTTATTTATATTTTTAATTTTATTTTACTTTTTTGGAGGCAGAGGCTTGTTCTGTTGCCCAGGCTGGAGTACAGTGGTGTCATCTCAGCTCATTGCAACCTCCACCTCCCAGGTTCAAACAATTCTCATGCCTCAGCCTCTTGGGTAGCTGGGACTACAGGCACGCACCGCCATGCCTGGCCAATTTTTTGTGTTTTAGTAGAGACTGGGTTTCACCATGTTGCCCAGACTGGTCTGGAACTCCTGAGTTCAAGCAATCCACCCTCCTCAGACTCCCAAAGTGCTAGGATTACAAGTGTGAGCCACCATGCCCAGCTGGGAAAAGGAAATTTAAGGAAATGAGGTGGTTTAGAGTTGTAAAATTAGAAAATTCTGGTCGAAACTACAACTGAATGAAAACCAAAAAGGATAACTAATAAACAACATTTTTTGTGCAGTAAATACTATTGGCTATTATTGAAAGGTCATCCACCACTCCTCTTTAAAGCAATAAAATATTAAAAGAGGTGGCTTTATTTGATATATTACATATATAATTGCAGACATTTACACAACTCTGTGTCTATAGTTCAGCATGGTATGAGCTATTATAAGATTGACTCACCTGAAGATTAGGGTCTCCTTTTGTTTCAAGTAAATCCTGAGTTATCAGAAGAGGCTCGCTTTTCTCACAGCTCTCCTGGCTGATGAGCATGTCTGCATAGTTGGGCTGGGGGAAGATCAGGTGACTTTTCCTGGAGTCCGCGGTGAGGGAGACCTCGTGGGAATAGGTTTGCAGGAAAGCCTGAACCCCGTCCATGCCTACAAAGTGGGAGGTGGGCACACCCGCCCACCTGCTGCCTTCAGACTGAAGCAGGCGTGACTTGTGCCAGCGTCTCAGCTTGAGTGCTAGAAGCACGGTGACAAAAGCCAGGAAGATGCAGGAGACAGCGGCTACTGCCACCACGAGATAGAGAGTGAGGCCCGAGTCGTCTGGGTCTGCTGAAGGCTTGAGGCTGCCCAAGTCAGCCAGGACATCTGGGATGCTGTCGGCCACAGCCACAGTGACTGTGACAGTGGCTGATAGAGGGGGCTGGCCATGGTCCTGGACGACTACTACCAGGATCTGCTTAAGCGCGTCTCTGTCCAGCAGGGCCCGCGCCGTGCGCACCTCGCCTGTGTGCAGCCCCACTGCAAACAGTCCCGGCTCGCTGGCCTTGAGCAGGCGGTAGGACAGCCAGGCATTCTGGCCTGAGTCTCTGTCCACTGCCACCACTTTGGTCACCAGGTAGCCAGATTCTGCGGAGCGGGGTGCCAGCTCCACTCCAGTGGAGCCGTCTGTGGGGAAGGTGGGGTACAGGATCTCAGGGACATTGTCATTCTGGTCTAGCACAAAGAGGCTCAGTGACACGTTGCTGCTGAGTGGAGGGTCTCCACTGTCACTGGCTGTCACCAGTAGCTGCAGGTCTCTAAACTGTTCATAATCGAAGGAGCGAAGTGCATACAGGATCCCAGTGTTGGAGTTGATGGAGACATAGGAGGACAGGGGTGCACCCTGGAAGGTGTCTTCGGCCAGGGAGTAAGTGATTCGGGCATTGTCACCACTGTCGGGGTCTTGAGCAGTCATAGATAAGATGGAGGCTCCTCTGGGGTTGTTTTCAGAAATGTAGGCAGAATAGGAAGCATGAGGGAAAGTAGGTGGGTTGTCATTGATGTCCATCACCTGCAGTGAAATATGAGTTTCTGTAGACAGTGGAGGAGTTCCCTGGTCAGTGGCAGTTACAGTGATGTTATATTCTGAGACTTCTTCCCTGTCCAGTGTTGTGTGTGTCAACAACCGATAGTAATTTCCATAGGTCTTTTCAAGTGTGAATGGTAGATTATCTGGAATAGAACATGTGACAAGGCCATTCCCTCCTGAGTCACTGTCATGCACATTGAAAAGTGCAATTACTGTACCTGGGGAAGAAGTTTCCTGGACTGAGCTGGTGAGAGATGTAACTGTGACTTCTGGAGCATTGTCATTTACATCCAGAACGGTCACGAGTACCTTGCTTCTGGCTCGGAGGCCAGGCCCATCATGGGCTTCCACATCTATGTCATAGAATCCAGAGTCCTCATAATCTAGATCCCCCAATATTGTTATATCCCCACTCAGAGAATTCAACTTGAATAGCTGGGATATTTTGTCTCTTACTTTCCGGAAAGAATATGTCACGTCTCCATTGGCTCCTTCATCTGGATCAGTGGCTTTTACAGTGAGTAGCCTGGTGCCTACAGGAACGTTCTCACGAACACTTACGTGGTACTCGGGCTGAGTGAATACGGGAGCATTATCGTTGATATCCACAACTATTATGAGAATCCTGGCAGTGCCAGAGCGAACCGGGTCACCTCCATCGAAGGCGGTGAGAACGAGGTGGTGAATCGCCTCTTCCTCGCGATCTAGAGCGCGTTCCAGCACCAGCTCTGGGTACTTAATCCCATCGGCCCCGCTTTGCACATCCAGGGAAAAGTGACCGTTTGCGTTGAGCTGGTAACCCTGCAGGGAGTTTACTCCTACATCCGGATCAAAAGCTTCAGGAAGAGGAAATCTTGTCCCAGGATTTTCACTTTCAGCAACTTTTATTTCCCTCTGTTCTGTCCCAAAACTGGGCGGGTTATCATTAATATCGATTATTTCCACCTCTACCCGCAAAATCTTTACTTTATCTTCTAGGAGAATCTCCAGGTTTGTCACACAGTTTGGAGATCTGTCGCAGAGCTCCTCCCGGTCTATCCTGCCCGCGGTGACCAAGCTGCCACTGCGCGGGTTCAGGGCGAAAAGCTGCGTCCTACCTCTGGAGACGATGCGGACTCCGCGCTCAGCAAGCTCCCAGGGCGCCAGCCCTAGGTCCTTGGCGATGTTACCCACCGCTGAGCCTTCTTCCTGCTCCTCAAACACCGAATAGCGGATCTGTTCGGCCCTGATTTCTCCCACAACCCCCAGGAGAAGGCAGATCTGGAGCAGCCGGGTGCGGTCTGGACGAGTAGGAGACGTCGCCATTACAACCCAGCCGCGGAGTCGCCTGTGCTTCGGTTTTCCCTCTGTGGAGGCCTGAGGAGCCCTAGGAGCTTCTGGGTCCAAAACAAAGTGTATTCACAGCCGGAGATCTCAGGGCTTCAGCTTGAAGCTTCATAAAGCTCCAGAGCCAGTGCTTTGCGCTGCAGAAATCTTGTGATTCTGATTAAATTTCTGGTTTGTCTTTTCCCCCTGATTGGTGAACAGCGACACCCAGAGTCTTAACCTGTTCTGCAATTTATTCTTGGTAAATAAAGTATATTTTTTATACTTTTCTATTCCTATTTCTCCCAAGATAATAAAAGTCAAATTCCTGTTTTTGATTTGCAATGACAATTCAAGGATACTCCAAATTTTCCTGTACAATAAACTTTATAAAGTTATTTATTTTCTTAGAGAAAATATGACTTTTTTCTTTTTTTCCTTTTTTGGCTAAGAATGTGCTCTCCGTCTTTTCAGTTTTCACATTATTAATCCCCACAGCCCATTCTCAGTACAGAACATTGTGTGAGGGACACATTTATTCCTCCTAAAGACAAAGGTGGACTTGAAAAATGGAGGAGAGAGAGAGGTGAAAAGACAGTGGGACAGGAGCTTGGAGGTCTGGCTTCAGTCCCAGTTTATGCAGTAACAAGTTTCCTCTCATGAGTTGACCCTCTAGAACCTGGGGCAATGCTTCAATTCCCTTGCAATAAACCCACCTACTGTTCAAGAGTTAGCCTTACCCCTGTACAAATGAGATTGGCAAATATGATAATAGGTTTGGGAAGAGGATTTGCTCATTGATTTAGTATATAGTAGATTTTTAGTCATAAGCTACGCATATGACTATCTTGTTCACAATGTGTCCTCAATCTTTAAAACTATACTTCTCATAGAGTAGTACGTTCCATGAAATCTTTTGTTCCATGAAAGCTTTCAATGTTTTAGGAATGACCAGTTCAAATGCAAAGCCTAAAACAATGGGTTAATAATTCTGCTCTTAAAAATAAAAAAAGAAATAAAAAGAAAAGTTAGACTGAAGAGCTATAAAGTGCAGATCATAGTTCAGTAATTTTTTCACATGACACATTCAGTATTACTTTACTATAATTCCTAACTTTAACTTAGCTCTCATCTTAGAAATAATCAGTAAAAGGAAATGTTTAGGTAGCTGAACGTGGATTTTCATTACATGCGCCATCACTTTCTTGCTTATGAATATTGAGTAATTTACTAATTTGAGAAAATTTGAGATAAAGCAGTACACCAGTTCTTAAGCTTATTAACAATAGCAGTAGAAACGACTTGTGCAAATGTGCATTACCTATACAGAATTTAAAAACCCTCAGACTTCGAGTAGATTAAAGGTGTTTTTCACAATCTCAAAGACCTCATAAACTGCAGATGACTAAGAGGTGAAATAAGATTTTTGGAAATAAATCTGACAGTATGCATTAAAAACTCTCAAAATGTTTATAGATTTAACTAATTTCTCAGAAATCTATACCAAAGAAACAAGAAGTATGGAAAATGCTTTATAAACCCAAGTGTATAAATTGGGTTTATTCATTACATTGGGTCATTACATTCCTTGTTTCAATAGAGACAAAATAGAAAGAGCATAAAAATAAATAATTAAGCAATGGTTAAGAAAATTATGGCTCGGCACGACGGTGGCTCACGCCTGTAATCCCAACACTTTGGGAGGCCGAGGCGGGGAGATCACGAGGTCAAGAGATCGAGACCGTCCTGGTCAACATGGTGAAACCCCGTCTCTACTAAAAATACAAAACATTAGCTGGGCATGGTGGCTTGTGCCTGCAATCCCAGCTACTCAGGAGGTTGAGGCAGGAGAATTGCCTGAACCCAGGAGGCAGAGGTTGCGGTGAGCCGAGATCGCACCATTGCACTCCAACCTGGGTAACAAGAGTGAAACTCCATCTCAAAAAAAAAAAAATTGTGAAATATCATTGATTGAAATTATGGAGTGGGAATAATACCGACCCAAAGTTAGTGATACAAATGTAA